CCGATGGTTATGTGTAGTCGATGCCAATAGACCGTCATCATAACTGAGCCAAAACCACAACCACTTCCTGCTGAGGCACCATAACTGGCATCTACAACTGCGGCAACATCTCACAAAGTGATCAGTGCAGGCCAACGCCAAAGAGTTTTCGATAGGCTTGGCCCTCAAACGCAGAGTAACAAGCCGTCTTCAGCCAGACAACAACTCGACTTCGACGAGCCGTTTTATAATGAAGATTATTATGCGCGCAACTCTGGCAGCTGAAGTTCACCCGTGAACCAATGAACCTTCAAGCCACCTGAGTCACAAGACCAATGTTGGTATATCTACAACTCCTCTGCTAACGTATATATCACTCTGTACAAATTGCAGAAATGTCGCCGCCAAAGAATAGACTGCATGGCCTGTGGACAAGCAGCCCAGGCTACCCTAGCTACCAAATGGCAGCCGAAAGAAACGGTGGGAAACGAAAATGGTCGACAAACTGTGGCAATTATGACGGAGCTCCTTCAAGGAAATAAGGTTTTAGTTTTCACTTATGCAAAAATGTTTTAGCTTTCACTTTTGCTATATATTTTGGCAACCAAATGTATGTTACGTATTCGCTTCTGATTAATGGTGATGGTTTGCTTATTTTCTATACATGCACACAGTTTTGATCATCTCAGTTTGCAACAATCAACTTCTTAAATGGATAGAGAATGTATTGATTTGTGTTTTCAGTTGCATTCCTAGGTGTTGCTGCTGTCTTCCTTAACCTCATTGAAAAAATTGATGCAGCAAAGGAAAAGTATCTCACAGCTTCTTCTTCGTCAAATATCAAGGTAACTCTGCTAATTAAAATGCATCCTTGTACATTGGCTTTTAATTTATATGTTGTCGTTATTGATCTCAGGGGCAGTTTTATTTCAGTTTGTCTAATTCAGAATCCTTCGCAATTTGGAACAGTTTGGTATGGTTTATGATGTTAGACTTCTTTGTCAAGATTGTTAATGCAACTGCTCAGAGGTACCGGAAGAAACAACAGGAAACGGAGGTTGCTTTGTATTCAAAGAAGTCATAGAATACCAGTCACACAAAATTGACAAGTAGAAGTAATAGAAATTGCTAAATACAGCTCTTTCGGTAGGCACATTTGATCTCTCCCCAAAATGTTCCATACATGTCCTTATTAGAAGCTTGTTAGTCGGAGGTCAGTGCTGGTGAATTATCTTCTTAAAGGTTGTCCAGAGGACATCTCCAGTATCCAACGTGGTCTTGAGAAATGTTATATTTGTGATTATCTTAACCATATCATAAAACTCCCAATTTACCATATCGTAAGCTCACTCGTGAGGAAGTACAGAGAAAGAAAGACCGGGGGGAATGCTGGTTTTGCCCTGAGAAATGGATCATGGGGCATAAATGCACACATAAATAATTGCTTTTGTTAGATGTGTGTGATGATAGGGAATTGTGTGAGGAGAATGACGAGGCTGTGCAAACTGTGTTGCAAGGAATGACACTGAGTGAATGTGCATTTTATGGCATGAATGCTAAGCGCTTCCTACAAACTATGAAGGTTTTAGGTAGTGTTAAGGGCCAACCCGTACGAATCCTCCTCAACTCGGTTAGTACCCACAACTTTATTGATTCTAGGTTCACTAAGAAATTGGGGTGGTCTTTACAAACAACCAAACCATTTGAAGTAATGATAACAGATGGAGGCAAAATCAAAAGTCAGGGTTGTTGTAGACACATTCTGTTGGAATTGGGAGGATACCATTGTCACACTGATTTGTTTGCTTTGCCTTTGAGGGGTTGTGACTTAGGTGTTGGGAGTGCAATGGTTGTTTACGGTGAGTCCGGTACTCTGGGATTTTCAGTTACTCACAATGGAGTTTCAAGTGGGCCAAAACAATTTCAAACTGTCCCATAGTATACCATCACAGCTGACTATCCAGGAAATGTCATTGCAGTAGCTCAACAAGGAATTCTATGATTCTAACTTGGGAGTTTTATTGTATTCAATGGAGTCTACACCAAAGGATACTGGCACCCTCAGTGCTCAACAAATGGAAGAGTTACAAGCAGTTTTAATGAGATTTGATGTAGTGTTTCAGATTCCTTCACAGTTGCCTCCACATAGAGCACAGGATCACAAAATCCCGCTTCTGCAAGGGTCTAAGCCTCAAAACATTTAGCCTTACCATTATGGCCCTACACAGAAAGATGAAATTGAGAAAGTAGTGCAGGAACTTCTAAAATCAGGGTTTATCAGCCTAGTCACAGTCCATTCTCATTCCCTGTGCTGTTAGTGAAGAACAATGAATGGACATGGAGGTTATGCATGGACTATAGGGAATTGAACAGACTCACAGTCAAGGATAAGTATCCTATTCCACTGATTGATGATCTTTTGGATGAATTATATGGAGCTCACTATTTCTCAAAGCTTGATCTAAGGTCCGGCTATCACCAAATTCGAATGCATAAGGATGACATTGAAAAAACAGCTTTTAGAACTCATGAGGGCCATTATGAGTTCCTAGTGATGCCATTTGGCCTCACTAATGCCCCTGCAACATTTCAAAGCCTCATGAATGACATTTTTAAACCTTACTTACGGAAGTTTATCCTTGTGTTCTTCGATGACATATTGATATATAGTCAGTCATGGGATGAGCACCTAGTGCATTTGGAAAAAAAACTCTAAAATTATTGCAACAACATCAATTGTTTGTCAAGAAACAAAAGTGTTCTTTTTGGCAGCACCAAGTGGAATACCTTGGCCATATAGTATCCAGTGAGGGAGTTTTTGCAGATCCTGCAAAAATTCAAGCTATATTGGAGTGGCCTGTTCCTAAGAATGCTAAGGAGTTAAGGGGATTTTTGGGGTTAACAGGCTACTACAAAAATTTATACCTAGATATGGCAAAATTTGCCAGCCTTTGTACAAACTCACTGGAAGAGAGGGATTCCTGTGGTCGGAAGCAACTGAGGTAGCTTTCCAGAAATTAGAAATTGAAGCAAGCCATGACTTCACCCCAATTGCTAGCTCTACCCAACTTTGCAGAACCATTTATAGTTGAGTGTGATGCTTCTAGTTTAGGTATTGAAGCAGTTTTGCAGCAACATGGGAGGTCTATTGCTTTTGCCAGCCAAGCTTTAGGTCCAAGAAATCAGGCATTGTCAACTTATGAAAGGGAGCTAATTGCCATCGTTTATGCAGTAAAAAAATGGCAAAACTACTTATAAGGGCGCCATTTCATTATCAAAACAGACCATAACAGTTTGAAATATTTCTTGAGTCAAAGAACCAACACCCCATTCCAACAAAAATGGGTGTCCAAACTGCTGGGACTTGATTATAAGGTGCAATATAGACATGGCAAGGAAAAAATTGTGGCAGATGCTCTCTCTCGGGTTCCAGAGTCACCACCTCTTTCTGAGCTACCTTTAGAGGAGAATGGAGAATTACTGGTTGTTACTTATCCCTATTTTGGGTGGTTGGATGACCTCAAGAGAGATTTAAAACAAGATTCGTGGGTTAGATCAAAGAAACAAGAAGTAGAGGTACGAGATCAAGATCCTAGAACTACTATCACTGCTCCTAAGTATCACCTGGATAATGGCTTCTTGAAATACAAGCATAGGATTGTATTGGGAGTTGATTCTAGTTGGAGGAGAAAAGTTTTCGAGGAGCATCACTCTACTCCCACAGTAGGTCATGAAGGGGTATTGAAGACTTACCAAAGACTGAAAAGAGGTTTTTATTGGGTTGGGATGAAAAAAGATACAAAAGCTTGGGTGGCTGAATGCAGGACTTGTCTACAGAATAAGTATGAAACAATATCACCACCTGGGTTACTGCAGCCTCTTCCAATTCCACAGCAAGCCTAGACAGATATAAGTATGGATTTCATTTGCGGGTTGCCTCCATGCAAGTGGAAGTCGGTCATTTTAGTGGTGGTGGACAGGCTCTCTAAGTATGGGCATTTCATAGCATTGGGGCACCCATACACTACTAGCATGGTAGCACAAGAATTTGTGGAAAACATTTTCAAATTGCATGGCATGCCACTGACCATAGTGAGTGACAGGGATCTCATTTTTCTTAGTGCCTTTTGGCGGAAGTTTTTTAGACTACAAGGATCGAAGTTATGCATAAGCTCGGGTTATCACCCACAAAGTGATGGACAGACGGAGGTTGTCAACAGATATTTAGAAACCTATCTGAGATGCTTCACTAGCTGCCAACCCAAGAAGTGGCTCTAATGGCTTCCTTGGACTGAATGGAGTTACAACACTTCATTTCACACTGCCTCCAAGTTCACACCTTTCAAAATTGTATATGGCTACCCTCCTCCACACATTGCCTCTTATGAGCTTGGTTATGCTAAACTGGAGAGTGTTGAACAGGGATTGATGGCAAGAGACAGAACGTTGACAATGCTAAAAACTAATTTGATCATTGCTCAAAACAGAATGAAGGTGCAGGCGGATAAAAACAGGAGTGAGAGAACCTTTGAGGTGGGAGGTTGGGTCTACTTGAACCTTATTCCCTACCAGTTGCAATCACTAGCAACTCATGCATACCACAAACTTCACCCAAAATTCTATGGCCCCTTCGAAGTATTAGAGAAAGTTGGTAGTGTGGCCTACAAGCTAAAGCTTCTGGAGACCTCTAAGATACATCCTGTCTTCCATGTCAGTTGCTTAAAGAAACATGTGGGTCCTGATGTTAATCTTGTGCCACTGTTACCACTAGTGACTGACGATGGACTCCAAGCTCAAGAACTTGCAGCAGTGCTACAAAGAAGAGTCTACAAAAAGAACAATGCAGCTGGGGTTCAACTGCTCATTTAGTGGAAGGGACAAGAACGCTGAAGAATCTACTTGGGAAGATTATGATAAGTTCACAGCAAAATTTCCAGGATTCAAGTTTTAACAGCAACCTTGAGGACAAGGTTTAACTGAAGGGCGAGGCAATGTTATATCTGTGATTATCTTAATCATAGTTTAGCAATTAAATAAGAATTTCGATTAAGTTGTTTTGTAATTAGTTATGCCAACTGGCTTTGAGAGTTTTGGGGAACCATATATGTAGCCACTTGTGAAAGGGAAGAAACAACGAATATTCAAAAAGAAATATATTTAAAAAAAATATACTCTTCTCTCTTTCTAGCTCTCCTATGTATTCCTCCATCCGCCATTGTCACATACTTGCAGGTCTGAGTTAAGGTTTTGAGTTTGGATCATAACAAGATTACCCACATTTTCTTTAAATTGATCTTACTGTAGGAGGAATTTCTCAACTTGTTCTAGCATCGCTTTGATGGCGCCACGAATTTCAGCAAGTATGCCATGAATTTCAACAAGTACTGCAGCCTGCTTGCCTTCAATCGTCATTTTCGCTTTCGCAAGCTCTTGAAATTCTCTCTCCTTGCTAAAAAAAAACTGAACCTTGGGTTGAAGAAGCTGTTTCGTAGCTTCGACTTGATCAGTCAAGTTTTTGCCCCTATCATACTCGGAATAGGCTTTGGAGTAGGCTGGAACATATTGTTCTAGCTGCTTCAAAAAACCCATAATCATTGTTCTGGTGCCGGCAGGAAAGCAATTAGAATCTACCAAGCTCTGGATACCTGAAATCATGCGAGTTAGTTGAACCTCGCCAGCCATAGTAATAAAGTCCATTTCTAAAGTAGCTTTGGTCATCGCTATGGCTTGCGAGTCTATGGTAGGATTCGAAATGGAGGAGCTGGCCAGTGTATTAGGTGCAGATGCTCGGTCTAAAAGTTGATGGAGTTCTTCAAGAGAGCACATCACCACACCTATCGCAAACTCATGACTCTACAATAGAAAGACATTGAAGAAAATTAATAAGGTCTCTTTAAGCTAGTGTCAAAGGACTGGAATGGAATATAAATATAAATATAAATATATATATATATATATATAAAATATAATATGATGTATCTCAAACGAAGACATGGATGCGAGATTCCAAATCCCTCTAAACCACAGCCTTGCCTTTGACATTAAAAGGCTTAATCGAGGTAGGCTCAGTTTCCTTCTCGACTCTTGTGTTTAAACAGATTTGTTATTGAAAAGGTTCAAATAAAACAGGATCAGAAGATTAAAACAAACGCAACAAGACATTCGAGGTTGGTTCCGACCGCACCAAGGCAGGATTGCTAGACTCGGAAGCAGCAGTGCCATTGGTTGTGGCGGAAATAACAACCCCAGTGGTTGCAGTGTTGAGCCTAGCAGAACGAAATTTATCTTTTTGATAAAAAAGATATTCTACTTTAAATTAATATAAAATGAAGGCAAGGGAGATTAGGTGCATAGGGGTATATCCACTCTAGCCACGTGTGACTTTGAGTGGCTGAGTCTACCTTCTGGCCACGGCTGACTTTGGGTCGCTTCCGGACTTGGTTGATATCGTTTCCCTCTTCATCTTTCTCTTTGTCTACTTCTTCAATGGTTGCATGGGGTGTAACCTTGGACTTTCCATCTTCTGAGGCAGTGGAGTCTAGAAATAAGTCATCACCCTCAGGTAAGAAACTAAGTGTATGAACGAGAAGTATGATGTGCGAAAGAAAATTCGAGTTTAATTAGCCAATACAATATCTCTTAACAAATGCATCATACTCGGTGGCATATATAATTGCAGGCGGATTTCGAAGAACTTCACATATTTCCTCCGGACATAGCCATCGAGGATGTTTCTTGTCGAGTCTTGCTTCCATTCTACCTGCTGCATTCAATCATTATCATATCAATAAGTAATAAAATATATAAGTTGAAAATTTTGATATATTTCATGTGTGGGTATATATATATTGACAACTTTGAAGAAAACATAAGAACCAGAGATAAACCTGGATCAAAATATTGCAATGAATTGCAAAAAAGTCAAATTTTTATCCAACATATAAAACCTACCTAATTGATCAAGAAGATCGTGATTGCTCTCCGGCATAAAGTCGGCAGTGGGTTTCGAATAAATTCACTGTGATTGCAATTTGCACAAGCAGCTGCAGATCCAGCAACAACATATATATTCCGTTCTTTGAGCCTTATCGGGTCAAAAAAGGCATCCTGTTGGCGGTTCCTTCGAGTATCTATAATATTATAATGCATTACTTTGATCTGAAAGTGGATCCCTCAAAGTGTTTTAAGACAAATAAACCGAGTGCTGAGTAAAAGGCAGAACGCGTTTAAAAGTGAATGCCGAGTAGCCGATTAGTGCCGAGTAAAGGACAGTACTTCTTTTTCTCGGTGCAACGAGTGAGCAGGTGCGTAAGCTGATGCACGCGTAAAATTTAGGATGAATTGTCAATTTAATTCTTGAATTATTATTTTAGTAAAAATTAGGTTCTTAAACTATTTTTTCAGAAAAATTCGTCTATGAATAATAAAAATCTATCAATTACATTCCTAATATTATAGTCAAAGCTACTATATTCAATTTTCCGTCAATTTAAATCACGGTACTTGCATGTAGTACACATTGGAGGGTAGATTGATAGTTTTTCATAAAGAAATAGTGTATGTAGTTAACTTTGGAGGGTAAATTAGTAGTTTTACATAAGAAATAGCGTAAGTTAACTTTGAAGACTAAATTAGACGTTAGATTTGCAATCTATATGAAATGTTAAGGATTTATAGGCGAGAAAATGACGGTATTACACCCTAAAATGTGTGAAGTGATTTAAGTTGATGAAAAATTGGATAAAATAACTTTGAATATAATAGTAGGAATGAAATTAACAATTTTGAATGAATTTAGGAACTTATTTTACCAATAAATTAACCTAGGAACCTAATTTTCACTGCAATGATAGCTCAGGGACTAAATCGACATTTTACCCTATAATTTAATAAACCAGTCGGTTCACAGGAAAATGCTAGAGATGGTACCAAAAGACAATGTAGAGCTGTTTCAGCTCAAAATCCAATGAAAATATTACTGCAAAGCAATTGCAGCATGTTCCTAAAATAAGAAATGATACGCATTTAATAGAAAGGCCCATTACTTTAGTCTAAAGAAGGTTTTGAAATTGCACTGTATAAATGAATAGTTTTTGAACCCCAATTTCCCTCTATTTACGAACATGCCATTGCTCCAAGGATTTTGCCTGGGTTTTTTTTTTCAAGTTTAGTTGTATGGGCTTTTGTCGGTTTGGGCTATGACTGGGTTGGAGGGTTTTGTTTGTGGTTGAGTTTTTTGGATGGATGGTTGAAACGGACAGGCGTAGCCTGTAACGATGCTAGTGAGAAATGAGGGAAGGTGTCGTGTGATGCAAGAGAAGAGAGAGAGGAGGAGTGGTCCGATGACAGAGAGAAGAGAGAGGAGTCAGTGCGATGCCAGAGAGAAGAGAGAGGATGACTCCTGGAAGGAAAAATTGGAGGAGAGAGGGAGGGGTAGGATGAGCAAAGTAGTAGGTAGGGCTGCCTGGAATTTGGGTTTTGTTTTTTTCTCGGTGAGCTCTGCTTAGAGAAATGGTGAGGCAGGAAGGGACGCCTAAACCTAGGGTTGGTTTCAGAGATTTGGTTCCAGCTGGAAGCTATCTCTGCAAGCATTGATGAGGATTTCTCCCAGCTGGCAGCTTGGATTCCGTTCAAAGCTAAGTGTCCCTTTTGAACAGAATTTTCCCTTATTTCACTATTTCTAGTTTGAACCTCCTTAGAAACCTGTTTTTTTTTTCCTGCTTTGTTTTCTGTTTGGTTTTGGTTCGGTTCTTCAACTTTTAGTTGGGAGTGCAAGATTTGTTTTTAAATTATTAAATTAGGACAGAAAAACAGCAGGAAACGGAGGTTGCTTTGCTGTCAAAGAAGTCATAGAATACCAGTCACACAAAATTCACAAGTAGAAGTAATAGAAATTGCTGAATACAGCTCTTTCGGAAGGCACCTTTGATCTCTCCCCAAAAAGCTCCGTCCATGTCCTTGTTAGAAGCTTGTTAGTCGCAGGTCGGTGCTGGTGAATTATCTTCTTAAAGGCTGTCCAGAGGACATCTCCAGTATCCAACGTGGTCTTGAAATTACCCACATTTTCTTTAAATTGATCTTACTGTAGGAGGAATTTCTCAACTAGTTCCAGCATCGCTTGGATGGCGCCACGAATTTCAGCAAGTATGCCATGAATTTCAGCAAGTACTGCAGCCTGCTTGCCTTCGATCGTCATTTTCGCTTTCGCAAGCTCTTGAAATTCTCTCTCCTTGCTATAACAAAACTGAACCTTGGGTTGAAGAAGCTGTTTCGTAGCTTCGACTTGGTCAGTCAAATTTTTGCCACTATCATACTCGGAATAGGCTTTGGAGTAGGCTGGAACATAGTGTTCTAGCTGCTTCAAAAAACCCATAATCATTGTTCTGGTGCCGGCAGGAAAGCAATTAGAATCTACCAAGCTCTGGATGCCTGAAATCATGCGAGTTAGTTGAACCTCGCCAGCCATAGTAATAAAGTCCATTTCTAAAGTAGCTCTGGTCATCGCTATGGCTTGCGAGTCTATGGTAGGATTCGAAATGGAGGAGCTGGCCAGTGTATTGGGTGCAGATGCTCGGTCTACAAGTTGATGGAGTTCTTCAAGAGAGCACATCACCACACCTATCGCAAACTCATGACTCTACAATAGAAAGACATTGAAGAAAATTAATAAGGCCTCTTTAAGCTAGCGTCAAAGGACTGGAATGGAATATAAATATAAATATATATATATATATATATATATAATATGATGTATCTCAAACGAAGACATGGATGCCAGCTTCCAAATCCCTCTAAACCACAGCCTTGCCCTTGACATTAAAAGGCTCAATCGAGGTAGGCTCAGTTTCCTTCTCGACTCTTGTGTTTAAACAGATTTGTTATTGAAAAGGTTCAAATAAAACAGGATCAGAAGATTAAAACAAACGCAACAAGGCATTCGAGGTTTTGGGTGGCTGAGTCTACCTTCTGGCCACCGCTGACTTTGGGTCGCTTCCAGACTTGGTTGATATCGTTTCCCTCTTCATCTTTCTCTTTGTCTACTTCTTCAATGGTTGCATGGGGTGGAACCTTGGACTTTCCATCTTCTGAGGCAGTGGAGTCTAGAAATAAGTCATCACCCTCAGGTAAGAAACTAAGTGTATGAACGAGAAGTATGATGTGCGAAAGAAAATTCGAGTTTAATTAGCCAATACAATATTTCTTAACAAATGTATCATACTCGGTGGCATAATTGCAGGCGGATTTCGAAGAACTTCACATATTTCCTCCGGACATAGCCATCGAGGTTGTTTCTTGTCGAGTCTTGCTTCCATTCTACTTGCTGCATTCAATCATTATCATAATCAATAAGTAATAAAATATCTAAGTTGAAAATTTTGATATATTTCATGTGTGGGACAACTTTGAAGAAAACATAAGAACCAGAGATAAACCTGGATCAAAATATTGCAATGAATTGCAAAAAAGTCAAATTTTTATCCAACATATAAAACCTACCTAATTGATCAAGAAGATCGTGATTGCTCTCCGGCATAAAGTCGGCAGTGGGTTTCGAATAAATTCACTGTGATTGCAATTTGCACAAGCAGCTGCAGATCCAGCAACAACATATATATTCCTTTCTTTGAGCCTTATCGGGTCAAAAAAGGCATCCTGTTGGCGGTTCCTCCGAGTATCTATAATATTATAATGCATTACTTTGATCTGAAGGTGGATCCCTCAAAGTGTTTTAAAACAAATAAACCGAGTGCCGAGTAAAAGGCAGAACGCGTTTAAAAGTGAATGCCGAGTAGCCGATTAGTGCCGAGTAAAGGACAGTACTTCTTTTTCTCGGTGCATCGAGTGAGCACGTGCGTAAGCTGATGCACGCGTATAATTTAAGATGAATTGTCAATTTAATTTCTGAATTATTATTTCAGTGAAAATTAGGTTCTTAAACTATTTTTTCAGAAAAATTCGTCCATGAATAATAAAAATCTACCAATTGCATTCCTAATATTATAGTCAAAGCTACTATATTTAATTTTCCGTCAATTTAAATCACAGTACTTGCATGTAGTACATATTAGAGGGTAAATTGATAGTTTTTCATATAGAAATAGTGTATGTAGTTAATTTTGGAGGGTAAATTAGTAGTTTTACATAAGAAATAGTGTAAGTTAACTTTGGAGATTAAATTAGACGTTAGATTCGTAATCTATATGAAATGTTAAGGGTTTATAGGCGAGAAAATGATGGTATTACACTCTAAAATGTTTCAAGTGATTTAAGTTGACGAAAAATTGGATAAAATAACTTTGAATATAATAGTAGGAATGAAATTAACAATTTTTAATGAATTTAGGAACTTATTTTACCAAAAAATTAGCCTAGGAACCTAATTTTCACTGCAATGATAGTTAATGGACTGAATCGACATTTTACCCTATAATTTAATAAATCAGTCGGTTCACAGGAAAATGCTAGAGATGGTACCAAAAGACAATGTAGAGTTGTTTCAGCTCAAAATGCAATGAAAATATTACTGCAAAGCAATAACGGCATGTTCCTAAAAAAAGAAATTATACGCATTTAATAGAAAGGCCCATTACTTTAGTCTAAAGGAGGCTTTGAAATTGCACTGTATAAATGAATGCTTTTTGAACCCCAATTTCACTCTATTTACGAACATGCCATTGCTCCAAGGATTTCGCCTGGGTTTTTTTTTTTTAGGTTTAGTTGTATGGGCTTTTGCGGGTTTGGGCTGTGACTGGGTTAGTGGGTTTTGTTTGTGGTTGAGTTTTTCGGATGGATGGCCGACACGGGCAGGCGTAGCCTGTAACGATGCTAGTGGGAAAAGAGGGGAGGTGTCGTGTGATGCGAGAGAGGAGAGAGAGGAGGAGTGGTCCGATGGCAGAGAGAAGAGAGAAGGGTCGTGTGATGCCAGAGAGAAGAGAGGATGACTCCTAGAAGGAAAAATTGGAGGAGAGAGGGAGGGGTAGGATGAGCAAAGTAGTAGGTAGGGCTGCCCGGAATTTGGGTTTTGTTTTTTTTCTCGATGAGCTTTGCTTAGAGAAATGGTGAGGCAAGAAGGGACGCCTAAACCTAGGGTTGGTTTCAGAGATTTGGTTCCAAATGGAAGCTATCTCTACAAGCATTGATGAGGATTTCTCCCAGCTAGCAGCTTGGATTCCTTTCAAAGCTAAGTGTCCCTTTTGAACAGAATTTTCCCTTATTTCACTATTTCTAGTTTGAACCTCCTTAGAAACCTGTTTTTTTTTCCTGCTTTGTTTTTTGTTTGGTTCTGGTTCGGTTCTTCAACTTTTAGTTGGGAGTGAAGGATTGTTTTTAAATTATTAAATTAGGACAGAAAAACAGATATTTTGTGATGCTTTCTTCACTATCTGATAATACCACTTCCTCTTCATTTCTCTTTTTCTTCCTGTTGTGATGGTCTTTCAGTGTTATAGCTTCTCTGCAGAAATCAAACTGTATGCATTTTGCCCCTTTTTGTTCATTACCTTATTCTTTGTTTTTGTGATGGCTCTGTGAATCAAATGCTCAGTTTTTTTATCCCTCTAAAATACATTATGTATCTGGTTTTTGTTCATTCACATATGATGCACTGCGAATCGTTTCCTAACAAATCTGTTGAGATATGTTATTTTTGGTAGGAAATTATGGTTGCTATTGTTAGAAATAGATTTAATTTTTTTGTTTGGTTTGATTATAGCTTATTTCTTTGAACAAGCATGCTTTTAAAGTTGTTGTAAAGTGTTTGTCATCGTAAACATGATCAGCAACTTTGGCTTTCAATGCGTTTTGCATGATAAAAACAACAAATATATTGATCTTCAAAACTAGGGTTTAGGGTTGACTGTCATTCGATGTATAGAATTTTACCCCTTTTATTAGTTTTTTAATATTTTAATCCTCTTTCAGAATACTAATCCCTAAACTTATTAATGTTATTGACCAGGTGATTTTTCACTCAATCCCGAAGTTCGTATTTCTCGGATTAGTGTTTTGTGCAGATTACTGGTGGTCAACTTGCTAAAGCATTGTATTTAGGTGAAGGTATTTGACATTCCTGTTTTAAGCTTTTCAGTTCCTTTCTGTGATTTGAATTGGAACAAAATCAGTAAACAGAATAGACTGATTTACAATATGTAATTTTCTAAAAAAAAATTCATTTTTTAATTGAGCTCTGTTTTAACTTTTTTGTATTTGTGCCTGTGTGTGTGTGTTTATGTGTATATCTGTGTGTGTGTGTGTGTGTGTGTGTGTGTGTGTATTTTCTTCCTGTTGTGTTGGTCTTTCAGTGTCATAGCTATATGTTATTTTTGTTAGAAAATTATGGTTGCTGGTGTTAGAAATACATTTAGTTTTTCTGTTTGGTTTGATTATAGCTTATATCTCTGAACAAGCATGCTTTTAAAATTGTTGTAGAGTGATAGAACAAATATGAAAGTTTAGAAATTAGCAAATTGGGAGCTTTAATTTGTGCTGGTAATTGATCTTTGCTCAAGAAGGTTCCATCTTTCATTTCACTCATCTTGAAAAGTTCTCCTTAAAAAGAGTGCTGGCTAATGCGAGCATATACAACACCAAAAAGAAAAGAAAAAATGACCGCAACCCAAATGCAACCCAAGGAAGTCACGTAGAGAGGTGGTGGTGAATTATGTTCTTAAAGGTTGTCCAAAGGCCATCTCCATTATCCAAAATGGTCTTGAGATTACCCTCATTTTCTTTAAATTGATCTTGTTGTCGGAGCAATTTCTTGAGTTCTCCCTGGATCGGTTCAGACTCTTTAACGGCACCATGAATTTTAGCAAGTATTGCAGCCTGGCTTCAATCCTCATTTTCCATTTCACAAGGTCTTGAAATTCTTTCTCCAAGCTATCACAAAACTGAACCTTACGTTGAAGAATCTATTTCGTAGCTTCGACTTGGTCAGTCAAGTTTTTGCCCATATCGTACTCGGAATAGGCTTTGGAGTAGGCTAGAATAGATTTTTTTAGCTGTTTCAACATAGCCATAATCAGTGGTCCAGTGCCGGTGGGAAGGCAATTAGAATCTACCAAGCTCTGGATGCCTGAAATCATGTGAGTTCGTTAAACCTCGCCAACCATAGCAATAAAGTCCATTTCTAAAATAGCTGTGGCTATCGCTATAGCTTGCGATTCTATGGTAAGAGTAGTAATGGAGGAGCTGGCCATTGTATTTGGTGTAGACCCTCGGTCTTAAAGTTTATGGGGTCTTTTAAGAGAGCTCATCACCACAACTTCTGCAAACTCATGACTCTACAATAGAAAGACGTTGAAGAAAACTAGCAAGGCCTCTTGGAATGGAAAAGATATATACGATGTATCTAAAACGAAGATATGGGTGCCAACTTCCAAATTATGTCCAAGTCGAAGCTAGAAGATCGATTAGTTTTGAAGGAAACTTATCCCTCAAAATTCCACTATTTTCTAATCCATGTTTTACCTTCAACTTGACAAGACCAGAGGGTCATCAAATTAAAGAAAGTTGTGTACATACCTTTATTAGGGAGAATGGCAAGTCATCTATTTCAGTTACTGTTAAATAGTGTATAGAAACTAAATGTAATTAGTTGTGTTAATTGCTGAGATTAGTTAAGGGATTAGTTTAGGCAGTTAAGGGTATTAATGTAAATATATATATATATATATTTATCTACTCTTGTGTAAATGATTATTCAGTTAATACAATTGAAAAAAGTTTTCTATTTCTATATGGTATCTCACCCTTCTGCTTCATAGCACCGATCCAACCTTCCACTCGTCAAATCGATCGATTCTTACTTTCTTCCCTCTGATTCTTCAATTCTTCGCCTCTGATCTCTCTTGCATCTTGATTTTTGCAAGTTATGGCTGCTCAATTTGAATCGTCATCGACTAGATCGTCTTGTCGGATCATATCTCCTTCGGTCCAAAACCCTAATTCTTCTTCCAATCCAAGTCATCTGAACTTGTACACATCTCTTACGATTCACAACATCGTCAGTATAGTGTTGATTAAATTGAAAAGATCCAACTATCTGCCATGGCAATCACTGTTTGCCCCAATTTTCAAGCGCTACAAACTTCTTGGCATCATTAATGGTTCTGAGATCTGTCCACCGTCATTCTTGCCTGATCAATTGATGAACCCTACCTTTAAGGAATGGTATGAAAAAGAATAAAATCTTTTGATTTGTTTAAATTCTACCCTCTCTGAAGAAATCATTTCGTTCACGGTTGGGGTTTCGTCATCTCTAGAGCTCTGGGTGAAGCTCAAACAGCGTTTTGCTGGAGTTTCAGAGGCTCACATTCATCAATTGCAATCAAGACTTCAATCAATTCATAAAGGATCTCATTCAATCTCTGAGTATCTTCAACAAATTAAGGAAATTGCAGATTCCTTGCAAGCCGATGGTGCTTCAGTGTTTGATCATGACCTAATTGCTACCACACTACATGGATTGCCTAATGAATTCGAGCCATTCATTGACTCCATCATGCTTCGTCTGTCCTCTACATCTCTTGATGAACTCCATGGTCTTTAACTTACTAAAGAATTGTTTATGGCTCGATGAAAGAATGTCACTTCATCCTCTGCAATTGAGCCATTTCAGACTTTCTTATTGCAATCTTAGCCTCCTCTACTTCCTACTCCATCTATCTTTGTTGCTCAGAACCAACCACTCCACTTTGCATCTCG